GTTTCTCGTTTTCAGTATGCTTCAATTTTGTTTTTATTTTTATTTGCTTATTTATACCTTTAAAATTTATCAAACAGATTAAGCAAAAGAAGATCATAATATATACTCAATTTTTATACTCTTTAAATGTGTACTTTTTCTATTGTTTTATATTTTATTTAATTTTTTTTTTATATATTTTAACAACTATATACTTTTAGTCGTTTATTTTATTCAGCTGCTAACGTTAAGTCAGCTGTTTATGTTACCATGGTTATATCAAAATTTTGAACAAGGTTATATCAAATTTTTGAACATGGTTATATCAAAATTTTGAAAAAAAAATTGTAATACAAAAAACAACAACTAAATATAGAAAAAAAAGAAACTAAAACAAATTTCAAACAACCTTTTTAATATTTTAAACGACAGTTTAAAGAATATAAAATACACTATATTCTAAGATTTATTTATAGAAATTTAGTATCGCAAAAACTACAGATAATGACAATTAAGCTAAAATTAATCTAGTTATAAGCTAATTAATAAAAAAAAATTATTAAGAAATGATAACGAATTGAAACTTTATAAAAGTTTCATCAAAAGCTTTAACATTTTACGTGTTTGTTACAAAGAAGCTTCGCCAGCTTTTACTTGTGTATGAGAACCATCTTAATTTTAGACGGATTATAAAATTAACGTTGCCATTACTTTTGAACGCAAAGATATGAAATTTGAAATCTTTCATAGAATATAAATTCAGTTTAAAATATTGGATACCTAGTGTAAGTCCTTAAGTTAAAAAAATTTATAGAAATGCTGGTTATAAAACCGTTTTTAAATCTGGGTCTTATTTACAGTCGATCTTAACATCTAGAAATAAAACTTAAAGCTAACCAGGTGTTTGTAAAGTCGGAAAAGTTGAAAAAAGTATATAGGCGAAAAGTGCTTGAAAATTTCAACAAGAGTATTACAACATAAAAATTAATTTCAGATTGTAAAAAGGATTCCTCTGGAATATCAAATCATAAAAAACTCTGCTAAGGAAACTGGGAAAAAATAGAAGTTGTGGCTTTATCTTACATCAAATTTAAAAAAAAAGTATACAAGATTTTAGAAATTCATAAAAGGCAACGGCCAATATGTTTTTAACAAGTTTTTGAAACAAGTGATGGGTTTTTTGCAATATAAAAAACAATAGTATTGTAGTGTTATTTCCTTTTTTCTTTTTAATAATTTTGTAAAAAAAATTTAACAATTTTGTTAAAATATTTCAATGTTATTGTCAAATGATGGGAATCTCCATATAGTCCTAAATTATTATAAGTATAATTTTTTTTTTTTAAATATTATTTTTAAGTGCCCCAAGAAAACCTAACGGTCTTCTCACAGAGCACCGCGTAAATGCATTTAACCAGGAAGTTCACGCCTCCTTTCTTACCGCGACGCGAAAATATATCTAAAGCTCGTTTCGAACTCGGATCTACTGCTTCTAAAGCAAGCGCTCTAACCACGGCTGCAAATGCATAATTAAATTAAGTAGTAACGAATGCGTTCCATAAAAAATTTCAAAAATAATTTTGAGTTTCTCAATTTTTTTAACTATAATAAAAATAAAAATGATAATAGTAATAAAAATAATGATAACAATACTGATATTAATAACAATATTTAAAGAAAAAAGTACCATTTAATCGACGACCTTAATATTAACCAATTGATTCAGAAGCATTGAAACGGAATCATTTTGAGAAAGCGACTGAAAAATATTCATACTTTAATCTTTTTGAATGTGTCAAAAGAAATTGAGTTGGGTGGGTTTATAAAAAGACTGTATCAATTCTAAGATGCAATTATGCAAAATAAAAATTTGTTGAGGAAGTTTAAAATAGCAACTTTCTGACATTCTATTGCCTCGTTTTGAAGTTTGGATTTCTAAGATACACCGGAGATTTAATTAAAAAAGTTGAGTATGTGACAATAAATATCTTGTAATTTATTCTTTGATGGATCTGTAAATAATGAAATATATTAACAATTTTTATGATTTTAAATAAAAAAGCGAGTTAAGTACAATGCAGAATAAGTTGTTTTGAACGCATTAGAATTTCTTGAGGTTTTTATTGGTATGTATTTCATCAAAAGGCTGTTACAATAGCTAAGTTGTGCATTAAAAATGCTAAAACCCAGCTAGCAAAAAATAATTGAGTCAATGTTGGCCCAATGCATTGACTTTCATTGATATAATGTTGGCATAATGCATTGGGCCAACACCGAAATGATTATTGGCGCAAGGTCCAACTAATGTTCATTGGCGAATGCATAAAATTTGAGAAAAAAAAGTTTATGGTTAAAGTGTTTTTCAAACACTTTAGACATAAACTATATTATTTTTACAATTAATTATAAAAATTGATTGCAGATAGAGTCTTGGATTTTTTTGATGTGATCGCGTACTTCCTTGTTCGGGATCATTTCTACCTTCTTTACGGTCACAGGACTGTCTGAGCCAAATCTTTAAAAGTTGTTTAGCACATAAAATGGTAACGCCGTTTAATAACTTGTTCTTTTTAACCACATCTAAAAAAAAAGTAAAATTAAATCCTTATTTATACTTTCTAATTACGACTAAAAGTTATGTTTACAAAATTTATATAACCTATTTACTATTTAATTAAAATATTTACTAGTTTTTATTGAATAAATTGTATTTAATACATTTACTATTAAAAAATATTATATAAACTCATTTTTTTAACTTTATTACTTGATTATATATTAATAATATTTAGACCGCGACATAAAAACTAAGTTTTATATAAAATAATTTTGATTAGTTTCCAGTATTGATATTTTGTCGAATGCCGACTTTAATTCCTTGATTGTATATTTTCATATAGGGGAAAGCGGGGCAACATGGCGAACGTTTTGAAAGGCCTGAGTTATTGCAAAACTATCAGTCGTGTAGCAATAATACTTTCTGAGTATGTTTATGTTATTAAAATGATTTATTCCCTGCATAAATTATCCGTTTGCAAATATAACAATTTGAAATAAATATTAAAATAAAAAGTTCATAAATTTGTCATCTGGTCACGTGACCGGGGCAAGATGACTTATTATTCAATTTTTACCTCCAATTTTATAAAATTTTAAAAACTACCAATAACTCTAACTAAAGTAACGAAAAATAAACACAAATCACCAAAAACTACTTCTAAAGAAGTTAAACTTGAAGGACACCATCCGTTATGAGAAACCGAAAGTGAGGAATTTTTTTTTAGGCGCAAAAAGTAAACTTATGCGTATAAAATTGCGTTAATAATATTTCAAAAAACCAATTGGTATTTTAAAATACAAAATGCAAATACAGTTTCATTTTCACCCATTTTTAAAATTTTTTATTGAGTTGTTATATGAAAACCCATCTTGCCCCATTCGCCATGTTGCCCCGCTTTCCCCTAATTATTTTTTTTATGAACAAAATAATAATTATAGTTGTTAAGTACAAAGTTAAGTTGAATTATGATTTTTTATTAACAATAAGAAAAGTTATTTTTAAGTTGCCGATTCCAACCTTTCCACTCCTCACAGCAAAGTTTAACGGCGAAGATCAGTCCTTTTAAGATAATTGTTCTCAACAACCTGCGCGTTGTATTTAAAATATTCGTTCCTCCGAATTGAGCAAGATAATTAACCTTGATTAACATCATTTATTACATTTAATATGATTAAGCTTAATTAACCTTGATGTTAATTGTTTATTTTTAGTTATGGCTAGTTTCAGAACAATATAGATATAAAAATTAAACTCTTTAAAAGCCAAAAACATATGTTTTAAAAATCTGTTTCATTGCTAATTAAATTTTATATTTTTCTAGGTTTATCTAATTTAAGTTAATCTTTAAGAATATAACATTCAATATAGACAACATTAAATCCTATATATATATAAATTATGTAAATGACATACTAATAACTTAAAAGTGTTTTCTTTCAGCTTCTCATTATAATCGGTTAGTTTTTGTATGCAATCAAGAGAAAGTTTTTCAAACCTTTTTTTTTGTCTTCAAACAGCGTATCATAATTTTTATGTTACTGCATTAAGTATTCTAAATCTACGAATGCATTATTTGCTTTGTTTCTATTGATGCAAGTCTGCTTAGAATTACTTTTAATTCTTTTGGCACTATTCCCAAAATTTAATTAAGTTTACACAAATTTTAAAATTTTATAACAAATATTTTAAAAAAAGTTCAAAATAAAGTTTATTTTAAAAATTATTGATGTCAAAATAATTTTATTAGAATACTTTTTTAATATAAAAAAAGAACTTTTAAAATATAAAAAATAAAAAAATAATTATATTTTTTAGCGATTTTCGCAAAAAGTATTAAATAAATAAAAAAAATTATTTCTCAATGTGTATTGGAATTTCTCCTATAATTATTTCAAATTCTCCTATAATTGTTTCAAATTGGAAATCTTCAAAATTACTTTTTGATAATAATAACAAACTTATAGTCAAAAAAGTATAAAAATGAAAGCAACACTGATCCACTATTATCTCATTGACAATAAATAATTCCTTCCTCTAATCATTAAAATAATTTTTTGAATGTTGAGATTTAAATTTTTATTTCAGGCTTTTTTTTTCGCCCCCCCCACCCTTAGTGTTTTAGTGGGAGGGGGGGAGGGGCTATTTAGCCCCTTACGCCCCTCCCTATTCCTACGCCAGTGTATATATATATATATATATATATATATATATATATATATATATATATATATATATATATATATATATATATATTGTTTTTATTATCTTCGCTTCCAACAATGCTGCAAGCAACCACTAATTAGTGTTGGAAATTACTGGAAGAGAAAAGATGGAGGTTGTAGAGCAAGATAACGATTGACAGATGACTTAAATGATTGCAAATTATATGAATCAGGAAAGCAAGATGAAAGAAGCGAATTCCTAAGAACTGATGTTCGAAGAAAAAAACTAGACGAATAAGAGTTTTTGGAGCACTTAGGAACAGTAACAGAAAAAAGATGAGACTTAATTGAATGACGAGTAACACGAGAATGAATTTTAGTAGATGGCACAAGAGACGCTAGCTCTTTAGAGCAGCGCCCATTATAGTATTTGTAGAAAATAGAAAAAGAAGCAACATTCGACTATGTGACAGAGGTTGAAGGTTGGCTGCAAGAGCAAGTCCAACTATGTTTACAATGCGTTTTTACACCTTGTCTAAAAGAGAAAAGGCATCATTAGAAGATCCGCCCCAGATATGGTAACAGTATTCCATACAAGGCCGGATTTGAAATTTATAGAGATAGAGAATAGAATCCAGAGTAAGAAAGTGTCGAGCTCGATAAAGAGATACAACTTTAGCAGATGCTAATATAGCAACGGATTTGATATAAGGTTTCCAAGAAAGATCAGAAGTGAGAGTTAATCCTAGAAGATGAAGGGTAGATGACTCATCAAGTACATTAGCATTCATAAATATAGGAAGGTCTAAATTATTGCGATAAAGGTTAGCTGAAAAAAATTGAGTTTTATCTGAACTAAAGTTCACCAGCCACTGTGAGCCCCATGCTGTAGCAGAAGTGAGATCCTTTTCAAGCTCAAATGTCCCCTGCAAGAAATCAGAAGGAGTTGGCTTCTTATCGTGACAAGAATAAATGGTTGTATCATCAGCGAACAATGCCACCTTAGATGTGAGAATATTTGGAAGATCGTTAATGTAAATTAAAAAAAGTATAGGGCCAAGGATTGAACCTTGAGGAACCCCTGAGGTTATAGAATAAGAAGAAGAGTGCTGTCCATCAAGGACAACTTTTATATTACGATTGGAAAGAAAGGATTCAATAATCTTAAAGATGTTTCCAGATACACCGTAAGAAGAAAGCTTATGGAGGAGACCAACATGCCAAACTTTATCAAACGCTTTAGAAATGTCAAGAGCAATAACCTCAACCTCTCCACCTCTATCTAATGCTCTATCTAATAATTTATCTCATGCACGATAAAACCTATCGGTTATTACTGTTAGCAAATCAGCCGTAGAACGAGAAGATTGAAATCCATATTGATGATCAGAAATTAGGTTATGAGATTCAAGATGAGAGATTAAGTGTTTCTAATTAAAGATTCAAAAACCTTGCTTATGATAGGAAGAAGACTAATGGGACGGTAGTTAGATGAATCGAATTGCTCTCCAGAATTTTTAAAAATAGGGATAACAGATGCTGCTTTCCAGCAGGCTGGAAAACAAGACTCTGATAAGCACTTGTTAAATAGTTTTGAAAGGATAGACGACAGCTCCGGAGAACACTTCTGCAAGACTATAACAGGTATGTTGTCCGGGCCACAAGCTGTAGAAGAGCCTAAGCAGGAAATCACTTTAGATACAGAAGCTGGAGTGATATGGATGTCGAGCAATGGATCAACCTGTTTGACGGCTATATCAGGTAGAGCGCAACTAGTGGAGTCAAGAGATGATATTGATGAAAAGTTCTCAGCAAACAATTCAGCTTTGTCTTAAGGTGAGGTGACAAAGTCTGAACCATACAAAAGAGGTGGAATTACAGACTTGCTCTTGTTATTGATACTAATAAAGATTCTCCAGAAGTCACGAGAGCCTAACTTTTGTGATGAAATACGAGATTTCATGATCTGAGAATAGCGGGCTTTGGCGTTAGACAAAACCTTTTTACAATGGTTCCTAGCAGTAATAAACAGACGTCTGTTTTCTGGAGAATTGTTTTGCTGATAGATATGGAAGTAATGATTTCGATTGGCAATTGCAGCAGCACAATGCGAGGAAAACCATGGAGAAGAGTCTGAATTGAGTCTTAAAAAAAAGCCTGAATCCACGAAGTTATGTAAGAAGCGCATTTGTCAATAGGAAGACGAAAGATTTCTACTCAGGGGCCATCACGAAGAAAATTACGGAAAGAGTCCCAGTCAGCTTTAAGGTAGTTGTAAGATGTACGATGATAGGGGATTCTAACTATAAAGAAGAATGAGATCATAGTTTTGGAGAGACCAAACCATGATCGGATGCACCTAAGGGTGAGTGTGGAGAAACTGAGCACTGACTAGGATCAGAAGCAAGACATAAGTAGAGTAGAAAAGGTAAATGATTTGGGTTATCTGGAAAGCAAGTTGAAAAGTTGACTATTTGAGTTAAGGATTGAGAAAGGCAAAAGTTGTGGGCCTTAATGCCTGCAGAGTTGCTGACACTAGAGCCAAGCCATTCAGTGTGATGAACATTGAAGTCACCGACAACAACAATATTGGCTGATGGATAAAGAGAGAGGGCTTGGTCAATATGATCAGAAATAACATCAAGAAGAGTGCAGTCTTGAGATGAAGGAGAACGATTTAGAACAAATAGAAAGGTGATAGATTGAAATTGTGCTAAACGAAAGCACATAAAAGAGTAGTCTGTGGATTCAAACCTAGTTTCCCGATAAATGGGTGAATTCTTACAAATGTAAATGCCTAGACCACGCATGTGACTAGCATTGGAGTCTTTACGAATTAAAGGAAGATAACCATCAACACTAAGATCATAAGATGAGACAGCTGAACTCAAATTAGTCTCACAAAGAGCAAATAGGTCTGGTGAACTTTGCAAGAGATAAGACTCAACAGAAGAAAAGTTATTTCGAAGACCACGAATATTGGTGAATGATAGGTTTAGCAAACTTGGTGATGACTGTGGTTTTTTGTGTTTTATAGTTTTTGTTACTTTATTCATTTTTAAATTTGTTAAAGAACTTGACTCGAAACATAGATAGTACTCAGTACGCTGTTTTATAGCTCAAGCAATTTCCTCATTTCCACTAATAAACCCCAAGCCGTAACAAAGGGCTCCAATGTGGCCTTGGCAATGCACACCAAAAGTACAAACAGGGACACCATCCATGCGCAACATAGCACTGTTAGTACTCTGATATTTTTCAGCTGTTGATGGAATCAGCCTCTCTGAGAGCTACCACAGAGTTCGGGAAACCTGACTACCAGCCGGCCTCAGAACCATAAAACTGAGTTTTAGAGCTGTACCCTCATTTGGAGATAATAGAATGAGTTGCCTAGTCATAAAAACAGAGACACAAGCAAAAACCATGCATCGAGTCAAGAAGATTCAGCGTTTAATATCCTAAACTAGAAACAATGTATTAAAAATACATCTGGGCCAGCCTAATAGATGAAGAAGGGGTGTGAGGCTGGTCAACTGATAGAATCTGTTTACCCCGTAAGTCTTTGCCTAGGAGGCCTTCTACAAGACAGCAGCTGGATGCATATAACATCTGCCCAAGATGAGTATTTTTATTGAGACACCATCTTTAGCCTTTACTCATGCAAGAGCCCCAAAGCAGGGGGTGTTTTATGTCGGAGTTTGCATCTCCTAGCCTTTGCCTAAAAAGGCGTATCCTACAAGGCAGCAGGACATGAAGCAGATTGTACTGGGTTACATGTTACCAGTAGCAGGATAAACATGATCTAACTTAATATATATATATATATATATATATATATATATATATATATATATATATATATATATATATATATATATATATATATATATATATATATATATATATATATATATATATGTATTATTTAAAAACTTTGGCATATAAAATTCGCCGAATGGTCACACACGAACAGTGAACACCCGAGGGAAGAAATGAAGTACATTAGAATAAAGAAGAATTATTTATCGAACGAAGCATATTTTGACAGTTGTCAAGACAAAAATAAAGATTAATAGAGGAAAATTTCAAAACAAGTAAGACAGACAACACATCCAAGCAGTACTCACAATAACAATAACAAAAAATTGTATCATATAAAAAACTAGTACGTACGAAGATATACAACAAATATAACCAAAATAAAAATTTTTTTTAAACCAAAAAATTGATAAACAAAAAACTTAAAAATAAAAAACAAAAACAAAAATATAAAAAACAAAAACAAAAAATATGGACAGCAATGTAAGGCCTTAGAATGGAAAAAGAACATTAATGCTAATGTGTAAACATAATTATGTAGTGATAAAGTAATAAACATCTCCTCAGAGTCGCGTCTATTATTACAGGCGTTTCGATGAGGATCAGCACTTATAACTAGTTTATCCCGTCAGACAAACGTCATCGCCACTTGTGCTTTACCCCCCGACTTACGCCTTATCACCATCTTTAGCCTTTTCTCATGCAAGAGCCCCAAAGCAGGGGGTGTTTTATGTCGGAGTTTGCATCTCCTAGCCTTTGCCTAAAAAGGCGTATCCTACAAGGCAGCAGGACATAAAGCATATTGTACTGGGTTACATGTTACCAGTAGCAGGATAAACCTGATCTGACTTAATATATATATATATATATATATATATATATATATATATATATATATATATATATATTTATGTATATATATATATATATATATATATATATATATATATATATATATATACATATATATATATATATATATATATATATATATATATATATATATATATATATATATATATATATATATACATAAATATATATATATATATAAAATATATATATATATACATATATATATATATTTATATATATATATATATATATATATATATATATATATATATATATATATATATATATATATATATATATATATATATATATATATATATATATATATATATATATATACATTGTAGTATAGAAAGATTTTTATAATGCTACTTTTATTAGTTAATATTAATTACTCTTAATTTTTTAAAACTTTAAACTAAGATACTTTGCCGAAAAAAATTACCTTAGGATTGGCTGTTGACAATAACAACGAGTTAGACATACATTGGAAATGTATAATATAAAACATGTTTGAAGTTAATCATAGATTGTATTGTGAAATCATCCTTATTTTCTTCATAAGGTATGTTGAACTCATGAGGCCGGGTAAATAAAAAAGACAGTTGCTTTTACTTAGTTATTGGTCAGTTTTATGGGAATAAAAACTTTAGCAGTTTTTTACAATTTTTATTTACGTAAAGTAAAGCAATTCACTCAGTAATTGCTTAGCTTTACGTGAATAAAAACCTAAGCAAAATTCCTGAAATTTTTATTCACGTAAAGACCTTTGACCAATTACTGGCCAATTACTGAGTAAAAGCAATTGGTTTTTTTTTATTCAACTGGCTCACCTTCATGTTGTCTTAAATTTAGAGTAGTTATCACACAACCTATTAAAAATAAATTAATCAAAAGAAGTTCATTTTCTTTTATGGGGTTATTATGCAAAACAACTCTTTGAGTACTTGTTAGTGAATTGCATAAATAACTTATGATATTATAGTATTATAAACTATAATATGGTTTTATTTATAGCCATTATATTATAAATTTATTTCATAATAAATATTTATAAATAGCCATTATAACATACTTGCAGAATGACAATGTCATGTGTGATGCAGGTGAACACTACAAGCTTTTTACATGTTTAACAATTCAAAGCTATTGAAATTAAATATTAGAACCATAAAAAATCATAAGTATTAATCATCAACAAGGTAACACAATATAATGCATAACAAAACAAATTAATAATAATATATTAATTAAAAGATCTAATTATAATATTCATTAAACAACTATCATTAACTGAAAAATAATCATGGTTCATTGCAAAATTTTTTATAATAAAACTTATTTACCTGATGAATTCATTGTTTTACTCTCACTTAAAGTGAAAAATTTATTATTATAAATATATTACAATATAACTTATAATAAAGCAGATGATAAAATATATCAAACACATATAAATTTCACAAGTAGAATACTTGAAAATTTACAAAAGTTTGAAAGTCATTAAGATAAAGCACCTTTTAATCTTGTTAAAAAGAAAATTTGAAATTACATAAAATTGTTTTGGATACTGTCATCTGCCGTATTTATATGTTCAGCCGTATTTTTGGTATTTCTAAGCCTGGGATGAAATGTAAGCTTGTTAGGTTAAAAAATTTATTTAACTAAAGAGTTTGTTAGTCCTAGAGGAACAATCAGACATATCCATTGAGTCGCTCTGACGTCAACGAAAACAATCGCATCGGCAGTCATGTTAAATGAGGTGATAACATTGAGAAAAATAAGAGAAAACTCTTAAAGAATTTTTGATAATTGAGAATGTTATAAGAAAATCATTATAAAAATGTGCTAAAAAAATGATATAATTTTTCCAGTAAAGAAATATGTACTAATATTTACGTCATGCATTATTACGGCATAGTTTAGCGAAGAAGTGGCTATTTAAAGCATTAAAAAAGAATATATCGTGTGAAGAAGTGATTACGAAAGAGCTATAAGATCACGCGAAGGAGTGGATATAAAAGAACTAAAAAGTTGTTAAGAATTGATAATAAAAATGCTAAAAACCTGTTGTGTATAAAATTGTTCAAACAACAACATAATGTAAAGATTTATTTTAATCACTCTTTATTTTTTTCGACTTTTAAATTTGAATCCTATACAACTTATTTGCGTAAATTAAACGCCAAGTTGTTTATAATAAAGTATAGATATTTTATACAGAATTTATGTCGTTTATTTTTTATTATTGCTATTTTCGACATGCTTATAAACGTACATACTATATAAACATACAAAATCACTAATTATCCATTCAACAATGCCTAAAACATGTTTCTAAAAGAGTTACTTACTACTTAACAATAATTTATTATTTACTGAAGCTCAATTAGTTACTTAGAAACAAAAAGCAAAGTAAAATATGTTTACATTGTTAATAAAATCGAATGAAAAAAAAAGTTGAATATTTTTTTAAAGGTTTTTTTAATGTTTAAGTTTTCAGAACAGTTCACGGCTTCTACCATTTCGAATGGGGTGATAACATTACAATCACGTGACAACCTTGACCTAATCCATAAGCATAGGTTGACACAGATTGACATAGATTGACTTTGTCACAATTTAAGGTGTCTCCTCTTGTTTTAATCTTTGACAAGCATTTCATGATTAGCTTATAAAGTAAAAAATTATTATTTTAAATAAAAATATATTAGCACTAAAATAATTCAACATTAATTTTTATCGTTGAACTGTTAATTTAAATGTAATGTTAAAGTAGATATTAGCAATCAAAGTTTGAATTTAAGAAACTACCATATAAATGTAATGTTCTAGCTGGCAGATGTTTCTAAAATGTTTTAAACTCTTCTATTTTTTTAACCTTTCTAATCCACTAACACAATAAGAAAACCAGGTAACATAAACTCACACTGAAAATTCACATCAATGGTATAATTGCTAGTGAGTTGTCATTAATAAAGTGCATAATAGCACACTCGATTTTCTAAAATAACCTAAAAAAGATTTTTTAATAAACATTAAAGTAAAAAAGAATTCAAATTTTAAATACATTATTTATTTAACTAACACATTTATTTCAATAACATACTTGGCAATTGGTCTTTGCAATATAATATAACTCATTTGGCACACGTGATGTGTGTGCTAATGCATTATACTTTTTACATAACTTCTATTCTTAAACCATTTTTCTCTATATTGAAGTGAAATATAGTTTAAGAATGCATAGAAGTGATGCAAGTGTCACATGAGTTATCTTATATTGCAAAGACCAATCACAAAATATTTCATTTATTTCGGTATAAAAATTTTTATTTTGATAGTCAGAGCTAGATGAAACGTATTCATTTGCCTTTTAATCAATATTATTAACATCAACATTAGCTAAATTTGAACATTTAATTGATCTAAACTAAAATTGTTATTTAAATAAAAACTTTATGTTTAGGTATCATGTTGTAATTTTACTAAAATGTTAAAACAAAACATCTTCATCTTTAGATTTAAAGATGAAGATGTTTTGTTTATAAACAAAACATTTTCCTGCTGAACCAACTACTTGTTGTCTCAAAAATCGTTACGGCTTGGAAGATTGTTTTACCCTTTTTTTTAAATCAAGATCAACTTGTTTTTTAACTTTTCGACAACGAGTGGAATATGAAAAATGTTTTGAATAGTTAGCCATTTTCTAAATAGTAATTAAAAAAAAAAAAAAAAACTTAAATTATTTATTTTTATCTATTCATTTATGTTATTAGAGTTAAAAATATTCTTAAATATATATTTTTTTACGGTTAATAGTTTATTTAAAATAAAATTTATTTAAAAACCTAACAATTATAACAAAAAGATAATTTCGATTGACTTTTTAGGTTTTTTTACTTTACTTGCCGGTTTGTGCAAAAATCTATTCGGTTAACTCATGCGTGTTTAAAACGTTTTTTAAAAATGTCTCATCTGGGATATAGTTAGCTATAAATTTTTATTTTAGGGATAAAATCTCATTTGGGATATAGTATGTTATAAATTCATTCAAAATTGCGAGTTATGCTCGCAGTTTTGAACGAGTTCTCTAGTCATTTTTAGATGTTGTCCTCAAGTTTTTATTTCATTTGACACCCCAACACAAATGATATGGGGTTCACTCCATAAGACAATGTCTATCTTGTTAATAATTTTTATACACCTGTAACAGAACTCTCCTTGTGCGACAGATTTCTAAGGAAGTTAAGTTCAGTATTTTTAGACGATCTTTGTATGACATATAACGGTATGAAGGTATTAAACGGGTAACTCTTCTTTGTACTTTCTTGGTTTTATCAATATCTATTCTTGACGATGGATTACTGGTTGCTACCGCGAATTCCACATAAGGTCGTACAAAGGTTCTGTATAGAATTTTAAGTAATTGCAGAGTCTGCGAATGGGACTTAAAGTATGATACAACATGCGTAATACATGGTTCGCTTTATTTTGGTTGCATAAGTCGAATTGTTATGCCATTTCAAGTCTAGCGTAATCTTGATGCCCAAATCACGTTCGACTAAAGTCGATGCTTGTTCGACACTGTTATTGTTATTAGCTGGCATTGAGTAGACATGAAAATTGTTTGTTTTACTTATGTGTATAATTTTAAATTTATCGAGATTAAGTTTCATTTTCCAGGTTTTATACCATTTCGGTTATGTTGTAGATACCAGTTTGAAGTTTTTGTGAAATGGGCCAAATGGGCCAGCAGTTTTTTGTCATTAACATACATTTTACACAGATTTTTAACAATATCGGCTATATTGTTTACAAAATTGATAAAAATTAAAAATTAGTCTCTGGTAGGGAACCATATCGAACGCTTTACAGATATTTATAAAAAAGTCCATAGATACCTTGTCAGATAATGCTTTTGATATCACGTCAATTGACTCCAACAAATTAGTCACTAACACACTTTTTTATTGACTAAACCATCTTGATTTTTTGAAATAAAGCTACGTTTGACTAAATGATTGACCATAGTGTCACGTAATATTTTCTCCATCACTTTACAAACAATTGATGTTAAGGATATAGTCTGACAATTCCCTGGGTCGAGTCTAATTGTTTTTTTTAAACAGTGGTGTTAAATTAGTCTTTTTCTATATTTCAGGACAAAACCCACTAACTAGCGACTTTTGAAAAAATGTTCTTAAAGGTATTGAGAAGCTGTCAGAACAGTTCTTCAGTACATATGCGCTTATACCATCCATTCCTACGGTTTTATCAACTGATAAATCGCTTAGCTTGTTTTTAACCGGATTTTTTTTTTATTTGCGAGTATTTGGAGATGGATTCAGTTCGTTTTATAAAACACGGCGGTTTATCGTCTTCATTTTTATTGAAAACGTTTTAAAAGTGGTCGTTCAGCCGATTTGCTTTTATCATTACCAACATTTTTGCGTATCGAAGTACTACTCAAGCGCTGAGTTGGCGGTGGCAGGATTGTGGTACATAACCATAAAAAATAAATTTGGAAATAAGACAATGCACAACAATTTTTTATTTATTTTTCATTTAAAATAAACTATTTAGAAATAATTAAATTAAAAAAGTAGTTAATTAAGTATTTTTGCCTCGATTATTACTGAAAAATTGATATTTTGATAATATATTGTAAACAAAATATTTAAAAAACCTATATAGTTATAGACTTGGAAATTTCACCAGTTCTTTATTGTATTGTAATGCAGGAGCTGAACTAAAACTAAGTCATAATACAAAGTAGTTCAGAAGATATTGACATTTTTTACTATTCACCAAGGAGTTTTTCTGGATCAATTAAAAGTTGCTAAAATTACCCCAATTTTAAAAGAAGGAGATCAAACAAGTATCAGTAATTATCGTCCTATCTCCGTCCTCTGCACATTCTCAAAAATACTAGAACGCATTATGTATAATAGATTATACAGTTATTTCCTTTCTAATAATTTGTTATACGCCAACCAGTTTGGTTTTAAAAATAATAATTCGACGGAACATGCAATTATCCAACTTGTACGTGAAATTTCAAATTCTTTTGAAAAATCTAAATTTACATTAGGTGTTTTTATCGACCTATCGAAGGCATTCGATACTGTAGATCATGAAATTTTGATACAAAAACTGAAATACTATGGAATAAATTACAAAGTTATAAAATGGTTCCGAAGTTATTTATCTAACCGTAAACAATTTGTTTTTAGTAATAGTTGTTATCCAAATGAGTTCCTAAATGTTTCATGTGGCGTTCCCCAAGGTTCCATTTTGGGACCACTGTTGTTCTTGATTTATATAAACAACCTAAATAAAGCCTCAAATTTAATGAGTATAATGTTTGCTGATGACACCAACTTATTTCTTTCCAATAATGACATTTACAAACTCTTTTCTAGTATGAACGATGAACTTAAAAACATATCAAAATGGTTTATATGCAATAAGCTAACTCTTAACAGTAACAAAACAAAATGGATTCTCTTCCATCCAATCGCAAAAAAACCTTATTTACCCCAAAATTTACCAGAAATCTTTATTGATAATACTGTGATAAAAAGACACTATGTCACAAGGTTTTTGGGTGTTTTTCTTGATGAAAACATCACATGGAAAGCGCATATTGACTATATTAGCACAAAAATTTCTAAAAGCATTGGAATTTTATATAAATCGAGAACATATCTATGTAAAAAAGATTTAACCCAACTATACTACACATTTATTCATACCTATTTAAATTATGCAAATATTGCTTGGGGAAGCACAGAAAAAAGCAAATTACAATGTCTTTACCGCCGTC